ATGCAATAAGTAAATCAGATCCTATTTCTTCTCCTTTGCTTCCCACTGTTCTTATGATAAAGCCTAGACATGTTAGCACAGCGAATAATGTCTCCCATAACCTAGTTCAACGTTGGCCAATATGAGATCAGCTATACATCTCATTTAAATATTCTAATAGCCATATTTTAAAAAGAAAAGAAAAAAAAGGGCAAGTAATTTCAATATATTTTACTTTACTCAAAATATCCAAAATATTATTATTTTAGGACACAATCAATATTTTGAAATGAGTCAGACATTTTGCAGTCATTTCTGCTTCATCATTCAAGTTTGGGTGCTAAATTTTAATCAGAAATACCATACTTGATTTATGTTAGATTTCTTGACATTTACAATTGAATTAACAAATTCACACTCTCAAAAATTTCTAAACCTATATAATCTTATTGCAATAAGTGAATCAACAATTAAATTTAAATTAAAATTCAGTTATTCTGTCTCATTAGCCACACTCAAAGAGCCTGACATCTACCTGTGCCTAGTGACTACCATATGGGACAACACAGATCCAATCTTACACCTCCTTAAATCTCTAAAGGCAGAGACAAGTTGAGTAAACCAACACTAAAATCTGTACTGCTAACAATGCAATATAAACAGCCTCAAATTCCAGGAGCTTCAAGATGCTTCCTCTTGCCTCAACTCTATTACAATTGCTTTTTTCCTCTGGTCAAGGCTTGGGAATGTGCACTGGGCCCTTTGGACTGGCAAAGTGCCGTTTCCCATACCGCAGCATTATTTTTCTGGTAATTATTTGGTACTTATCTGTATAGATTGTGGAAGCAGTGTATTATGAACACAAATGTCAGAATTCATAACAAATTGCAGGACAGAAAAAATATTTAATCAGATATGCTTATCAAGGTTCTTTCACCCCTTCAGAAATGTCCAAGCTGTTTTTAAGCTGATATTGTCCCCCTGGCCTGCCTGAAGCAGTTGATGAACTTTCTGGGTTACATAACTTGATGTGAACTCTCTTTTTCTAGACATAGGAGATGATGGTTCTCAGAGTACTGACATGACCATTTCCAGTCCTTCCTGGCTAATAAAGAACAATCTTTCCAGGAAATGTGTGATATGTGAAGTCTGACATTAAGAGTGCAGTAAGGCAGCCTGAGAATATGGTACGGTTAAGTATGATTAAAAGTAGTAGACCATGAATATTACAACAGGAAATGGAAAAGAACAGAAATTATGGGCAAGGCAGTTTTCACTGCACTTTGAACTCAGAAAGATGTTACCTTGTGAAAAGGTGCAGGAATACTATTATAATAAATCACTATTAAAATTCACATTAACATCACTGCATTAAAAAATAGAAGGAAAAGAGAAAAATGTAATTGGATTCTGGTGCAAACTAATCAGTATTCTTTTCACAGCTAGAAGGTAAGATCTATACAGGGATACCATTGACATGTTAATGGCCACTGGTGAACAGGACCAAATGGTTTGGTTTAACTGTTAGAGATGAGTCAGTCTCTGAATTTAACCTCATACATATGAGCCAAAAAAATTATCATCTGAGACTGATGCCTGAGTCCAGCCTTAGCAACACTTTCTAAGCAAAAAATGCAACAACCTCAAAGCATGGGTGGATAGACTATGTCAGAAATTCAATGAGAGAGTAAAAGATGATCTTTAGAAAAATAACATGTATCTGAGGATGTAAAAATCAATTTCTAAACTTGGAGGAAAAAAACCAATCTTCCCTCCTTTTTTCCCTAACCTGTCTCCATACCCATTAGGGCTTCCATTTGATCTGTATTCACTATAAAGAGAGGGAAGATTAAACATTTGACCCGCCACTCCACTCAAAATATTTTGCCTGTGGGATGACACTTTTGCCTCTAATCAAGATAGAGTAGCAGGACCAGAATTACCCTCAGCCTTGAAATAACCCTAACCTTTAAAATAGTGTCCAAAACACTGAAATAAGGCAACAAAGGACAGTAATCTCTGCAAGATAGAAAATATACAAAGGAAGTCTCCAGGTCATTCAACTCACTGCTTGAGGCAATTTACAGGCCATGCTGCAGGAGAGGAAACTCAGAGGAAGCCAGGAATAAAGGAGGTGGTACAGAGGAGAAGGGGAGAATAAGGTGGCCAGTCTCCCCAGGACATAATACCAGAGTGGAGAGGGCTGCTCAGAGAATATTCAGGCAGGAAGCCAAGGAAAGAACTACCCAAGAAGAGGGGAGGTGGTAGAGCTTCACATAGAGGAGGCAGAAACAGTAGTATTCTCACAGTACAGGTTGAAAATCCTTATGACTCTGTGGGGGCATGGATTGTAGTTTTGAGACAGGGTCTTGCTAAGTAGTCCAGGCTGGCCCTGAACTCACTATATAGTTTAGGCTGGACTTGAACTTGTGATTATCTTCCTGCCTCAGCCCTCCAAGGCAAGGATCACAAGCTTGCACCACCATGCCCAGCAAATCCTCCTGATTCACAGAATTGGACAAAATACAGATGGGACTTAATTCAATAGCGGTGAATAGTATTTATTACATAACATGGAATACCATTCCATTCTCACCCAAACCTTAAAAACCACATTCAAAATTACCAAACTGTTTCTAGATTGTTCTATCCCAGAACAAACTAAAAAATATTTACTAAAAAATTTACAATCCAACAAAATAAAATTTACATGAGTAGGATCTAATAAAAAAAAGTATCAAGAAGAAAGAACATAGGTGTAGAAAAATCAATCAAACCAAACCAAAACTCAAAAATATATTGAAGAAAAAAACAGCCAAAATCCAGTAGCTCCAAATTTAATGACCATTATAAATACACAGATCCAAGAAACTCAAAGAATCCCAAGCACAAGACTATAATGAAAGCCACACTGGGGTACATCATCATCAAATCATAAACTAATGATAATGAGGAAATCTTAAAAAGCAATTAGTGAAAAAAGACAGACTAATAAAGATGTCATAAATTCTTGCTGGAAAAAGTTAGTAAAACAGCATCTTAATGTTCTGAAAATAAAAGTTTTTCAACAGCAACATTTTTTTTCTAAAATTAAAGTGAAACAGATACGTTTTCACATTTGCAAAAGTTGAAACAATTCAGGGGTTGAGGTGTAGCCAATGAGAAGGTGCTTGCATAGTAAGCATGCAGCCCTGGATCCAATCCCCAGCACCAAAAACCTAAAAAGTTCAGAGAAAGAATGCATCATTAGCCCTTGTTAATGTTGTAACTAACTAACTAGCTAAATATCACTGTCATAAATAGACATAAAAAGGATACTTTTTTTCTTTTGCAGGATGAGTAAAATGTTCTCCTGCTGATTTCTTTAATGAACATAAATCATTAAACTAACCCAATACTATACATATGCTAATAAATTTACTCCAAATTTACTGGAAGAAGTGTGGGCTTTGTTTACATAGTGCGCCATTTGCTTAAGAAATGCAGGACTTTCCCTACCTCTGGAATTAGGAACAAGATTTCAGCTGTAGTTTATTTATGGAATAGGGCAAAACACATCATGGTTACCAATCAGCCTGTGATAGTAACCTAAGCTAATGACCTTTGTGTTGACAAAATATGTCATACATGTTTCTGTATAAAGGAGAACTGTTTCCTAACATACAAAATACAATTGCCAGGCTTTTCCAGCGTCTCCTTCTCCTTCTCCTCCTCTTCCTCTTCTTCTTTTCCTCCTCCCCTTCCTCCTCCTCCTGCTCCTCCTTTTTTAAAAAAATACAAAATAGAATAAGAGAAAGAAAAGATGCCAGTTTCCATTTCTTCTCTTCTTGGAAAAGCTTTCAAGTACATGTGTCCCATAAACTCTCTTTCCACTGAGAGCTCTGAGTTTCAGTGCATAGATCAAAGAAGGCACCAAACTTGTTCCACCAGTTTCCAGGGCCACCAGGTTGGCACAGGTGTAGTGGCAGTGTGGGCTCAACTCCAGTTCTCTGTCTTGGTCTAACTTTCTCTCCTTGGTGACAGTAATGCCAGATCCACGTGTACTTTCAAAGTCACACATCTGTCTTCTCTAAAATTCAAAATGTGTACAACTACCATGTACCCTTTTTGCTAGGTCTTCTAGATATGTGAAACTCATGTATGAGTATGTGAGAGAATATTGATACTCCAGGATATTATTTTTTATCAAAGGATTCCTAGTCATGATTTAAAGATGTATATAAAAAGACAAACATGAGTGAAAAATATAATATGCAAATAACTCTAAAGATTGTTAACAAAATACCAGGAAATTTCGATAGCTCACCAAAATATTTTTTTGTCTCAGTTTATGCCTCAGTTATGCTCAAACTAGCCAGGTAAGTGGAAAGTCTTAACTTGGTGACTGCTAAAGAAAGCATTCATTAAGTTTGTATTTGCTTGAGTTTCATCTTGGACGTCAGGATTTCCTTTTGCCTACTGAGCAGACCATGTGGAAGAGCTGTGGAGTTAGAGCTAAGGAGATATTTCTTGTCTCTGGCTGGTGTGTTTGGATATTTTGGCAGTTAACACTTGTATTTGTTTGCCTGACTATACAGAGCACTTCACCCTGTGTGAACTTGACATTTCACTTTTAATATAAATAAATTGTGAGGAAAGCAGTAGTCATTTAACCCTGTGCCAACCAGAATAGCTAAATGCAAAGAGTCTGGAGGCTTCCAAATCTGATTGCTTGTTGAAATGACAATTTCCTTGAAATAGCACAGGGCTAACTGGTTAGAGGAAATGGTAAAGAACAATGGTGTTTTCAGTTCCTATTCTTCCTCTCACTGAAGTTCACAATAACAGTAATAAAACCATCTTGCATCTTGGCTTTATTAGATGAATTTAATGACAGAAGCAATGTTCCGGTTTGACCATTACTTGGACAAAGTCTCTCCCCCTGTGTCTGCACACCTGAATGTATGACCTGTGTCATGCAAATATCCTAAGCTTTGTCTGACCTTTCTCTCATTAGTGAAATGAATTTATTCCTCTTGTAGGTTGTTATACAGATAAAATGAATTTGCCAAGTGTCTAGAATACAACAGATGAATGTGAATTTGCCAAGTGTTTAGAATACAACAGATGCCTCATAAATGTGAGTATCTTTTCTCTCAGTAGCTGATCTCTTGATCATGCGACCTGTGGAGGCAGGGCTCCTTGCTTACAATGAAGGTACCCGCTTGTTATTTCATACCCTGTTGTGATTCCTTTAAAATTCTCAACATTGTCTGGGGAGGGGCTCATATTTTTACTTTGTGCTGGGCCTTCTGATTTATACAGTGATTGTCCTTTTCCTTTTTCTTTCTTTTCCCCCCTTTTCAAACTTCTTGGGTCAAACAGTTGTTCTCTTGGTTGTCTGGAGCAGTCATTTATCCTCAGGGTGTTCTGGCTCTCTGCGCGATCCTCATGGCTGAGCTCCATTTCCTTTGACCTTGACCAAGACCTCACACGTCTCATGTATAATACTGCATTGTCACCTTGCTCTGGTTGTGGAATTGGTCAAGAAACACCTCTGAATGCTTAAACCTTTTCTTAAAAGAATATGATCATCCATAACTTCCAGAAGACTCAGCCTAGAGATAGTATAGGTCTCATCAGCAGCCAAATTGTCAACTCCAGGAAATTAGACCACTGTAGGTTGTATGTGCTACCCCTCAGTCTTCTGCACTAGGGCAATATTAAGTGTTGTGAGGCCTAAACTTAGATAATTTGAAAGCCCTCTTTAGAAAAGAAGTACATTAAAGATATACCACTAACTGAAATTTTAATAGAATGTGTTAACATAGCTTACACATAGGAAGAAGTTCTAACATTTCACTAGAATTATCAGCACTGTTGTGTACAATATTCATTAGGTTATGAGCTGACCCATCTAACGGATATCCAATAAATGTTCATTAACTTCATTAAATTATAGCTGGCAATTGTGAATGTTTTATCTAAGTATTTATGTCCTTAACTAAATGACAATTATTTTGATAGTATAGATGGACATAAAATTGTTAATTATTTAAATCTTCCATAGTATTAATGTTAAGATGGATAGACAATAGATAGACATATAGATAGATGATAGATGGGTAGATACAGGATATGTTGCAGAATACACTTTGTTGCATAATGTATTTCCATAGTTATGAAACACGTTCCCTTTCCATCTATCTCTCTATCTATAGGTTTGTTATGTAACATGTCCCCTTGCTGTGTGTCGGGACATAAAACCAAGTGCTTCATCTTATTAGGAGTTATCAAACTGGTAATTTGCCTTCTTACTAACTTCTAAGTAGAATGTATTTTAAATATTACCTGGCGAGATCATCAATTTACCGATGAAGAAGTAGTCCAAAGAAATTAATTAGTTTTTAAAAAGCAGTATTAGAACTGGGTTAGAATTTAGGCTGCTCAAATTGGGATTCAATAATTATTTTACTACAGAATGTTGAGTGTAGGTCTCAGGGATAGAAAAAGGAAGAAATAGACATTTTGTGTGATTTACTTGTGTTACAAACAATTTAAGCCTTCTTAACATTAAAAAATAGTTTTGTTTCATTGGTTTCATCAGAAAAAGCAGGTGAATTAATTTGCCTTCTAAAGAATCCATTGTATTGAAACATGGAGGAAGTATACAGAATTAGAGTGGTTATATCTCATAAAGATAATGTTTATGATTTATGGTACTGTCTTATTACTTTTTAGAACTCCTAATTTATCTGAAATGTTTAATGTATGATTATTTATTTTGCTAAAAGTGAAAAGAAACATTTTAATTATGAGTATTACTTAATTATAGTTTAATTATGAGGATGCCTTCTAATCTTTGATTTGCCCTCTTTTCTGTTTTGGTAAATATGAAAAATTCTATATTATTCAAAATAACCTAGTTTAAAATATAGGGAAAGTCTTACAAAGCACTCAGATGACATAGGCTGATTACCCAATTAGAAGACCGCCCTACTTTTGGAAGACTGTGTACTCACACAAAAAGATTCTGAAACAATAGTTTCCCCAGTTCTTTGGGGAGTTATGTTCTCGTTCCCTCCTCACTCCCTGTTGGCACAGATGGCCAGTCTCAGGGGTTATTAGTTCTGGCCACACAATAGTATTCCCTGGATAATCTTTTAAAAATATCACGCAGGCCCTATCAGAGGCCAATTCAATTTGAACTCTTTATGTCTGTATTTTAAATATATTTTTTGAAATGTTAAGTGTCATGAATCTGAGAGGGGTATTTTGGTCCAGGATGCAAGCAAAATTCTAATAGTGGTCACTACGCCTGAGTCCCAGCAGGGGTTGACCGGAGGAAAGACCTTGGTGCTCCCACCAAGGCTCTGTATGAAGAAGCAACTAGAGGCAGAATGCAGCTGCAAGCCATCACGAAGAGGGAAGGCAGTGATAGCCTTGGCCTAAGTCTGCAGGAAATGAGTGTGGGATGGAGGCAAAGGACTGGGAAGGGATTTGGAGGCGCTTTTGGGGGACTGAAATCCTGTTTGGACCAAACTATTGAGGATAGTCAACAAGAAGAACGCTTTCAGTGCTTTAGGGTGGCCTACCAAATCCCAAAAGGAAAGAACAGCAGCTCTATTTCTGAATGTCAACATTTATTTAAACTATAATGTTTCATTATTCATAGATATTAAAATAGGACCTTACAAGTATTACTGTATTTACCTCCAGGCTCCTAAATCTAATCATATTTATCTGTTTCACTTTCCCTCCTTAGATAAAAGAGCACAGGGAGATTGGAAAAGAAGAAAAAGAGAAATTTCAAAAGCCTATGAGATTAGTTTTGACTCCACAACTGAAACCACTTATTTCTGCCATGTGGGTAGAAAGGTACCAGCACCTTTCTGCTGGAAGGGACCAGCATCTCATCTGTGACCCTTCATCATATTCTCCTGCAGAAAGAAACTGATTACTCCTATACTGACAAAAAGAGTTATGACTTTTACTAAAGCAGTAACTAATACAGTATTTTTAAATTCTTGTATAGTAGAGTCTCTAAAAAACAAAACTCGCTTTCTAGAGTTAGTTCATATGATTCATGACTTTTCAAAACTTTTACGGATAATAAGCAGAAATTCAGAGGTTATCCAGTCTATCAAATATTCGTTTTGATTAAAAACTATCAATTATGAGGACATTGCACTACCCGATTCCAGCCTTAAAAGTACATATGGCTAAATATAAAGAACATTAAGTGGCATTTGTACTTCACAGTGAGAACTCCGTATACTCCCACTTCTCCCGCTGACACAACCTCCATTTACTTAACTACTGCTCTTTAACTAGTTTAGGAAATGTACTGTTAATTCAGCATCTTCAAATGATTCAATGGAAATAAACTAATTGCCACTTGGAAAAATTGTTGAAATACAGGCAGAGAACCTTATACCCAGGTTAGCTGGTGGTTTTCCAGGTCTCATATCAGATTGCAAATAGGCTGCTTTTAGGCCAGTTAGGTTTTTTCTTTCTTTCTTTCTTTCTTTCTTTCTTTCTTTCTTTCTTTCTTTCTTTTCTTTCTTTCTTTCTTTCTTCCTTCCTTCCTTCCTTCCTTCCTTCCTTCCTTCCTTTCTTTGTTTTTTAGGTCAGGGAAAGTGAAAGTCAGAAAAGCAAGTAGAAAACACACAGAGAGCACAGCACAATACACACTTCAGCAGTTTGGGAATCAGCAGGAAATCTAAAGAACATGTTCTTAACAATAAGACTTCAGTAATAATACTGAGTAGAAATTCAGCCAAATGGAGCTAACAGAAGCACAGGGGACTATCCAGGAGATTCTCGTGGTGTTTCTCTCTATCTCTGTCTCTCTGTCTCTGTCTCTGTCTCTGTCTCTGTCTCTCTCTCTCTCTCTCTCTCTCTGTTTTTCTCTTCCTCTCTCTCTCTCTCTCTCTCTCTCTCTCTCTCTCTCTCTCTCTCTCTCTCTCTCAATGCCATTTTCCCTCATCCTTTTATTGAGAATATGAGCAATGAAGCTTATAGTACTATGAAATTTTGATATCATCTATATGTACATTTAAGGATGTAAATGCACATATCATTTCTGAAAGAAGCATCGAGATGTCTGTTAAGTGGAGAGGAGGAAACAGGTCGTCTCCAGTTACAATACTGGATGATCAAGGCAAGCCAGCTTTAATGTGCAGACCCATCGTCCCCTCCCTACAAATAAGAGTATTGATCTATCAAGATGGAAGCAAGAATACGTGAGAATGTTCTATGAGGCTGGGTAAAAAGAAAGCTGTGAGTGGGCGAATGTGTTTGTGAGAGTGTGTGTGTGTGTATGAGAGGAAAGAAGAGAGAGGGGAGAGGGACAGGAACAGGAACAGGACGGTATAGGGGGAAGCTATAATGAAGTTTGAAGCCCTTGTTTTAAGAGACTGTCCTGACAGGTGAAAATGACTAAACGACCAATTCCAAGCCTGCCCAAATTCCGTACGTGTTAGATACACGAAGAATGTTATCAGGCCTCTTCTTATGTGAACATGAAAGCACGGAGACTCTGGGCTCTGGTTCTGCAGGCTGCTGTCAACAGGCTTTCACCAAAATCATCCTAATAAGTGCAAAACGATTCTAAGAATGAGTGTGGATTTAAAATAGTTCAGATAAATGTTTAAAACACCAGCGAAAGACACCAAAAATGTGTCAAGTATGATATCATGTTTATATATTATTTTAAAAAGATGTTTACTTACAGACCACTTTTTAAATATTGCCTAAAAATTTGGAGAACAAAACTGGTGAGACTGGAGAAAGTGAAGGAGAAAAGAGATTTTCCAGTTCTTGTAGTATGGGAATAACATAGCATGTGCCAGTTTAACTTATCTAGTAGACAATAAGGATAATAATGAATTCTGAACAGCTTGAATATAATATGAAGTATGTGGTTTGAGTGGTGTCTTGGTTACTTTTCTTTCATTACTGGAACAAAATACCCGACACCCAAAATTAAGGAAGGAAAGGTCTGTTTAGCTCACAGTTTCAGTCTAAAATCAGCTGGCTCCAAGGCAGGGTGGCATGGCACAGTGGCAACGCTTCAAGGTAGCAGAAGACAGCAAAAGCAGCAAGAGCCAAAGCAGGGGTGAGCGAGCCTCATTTCCTCCCTTACACTGTAAGCAGGTGACTGCCCCCCAGGCCTGGTGTAGCGCTCACGTCATTTCCATGGCCATCTCTTGCACAGATTGAGGACATTCACAAGGGATGGATCCTGGCTCCCTGCTGAGTTGCTGAGCTAAATTTCTAAACATGTCAAATAGGCATAATAAATCAATTATTACAAAGGGTTTCTGAACAACTTCTGACCAGGAAGTCACTGGGATGCACTAGGTTGCTTCTAAGCCACACTTCTGCTCTGAAAGTGTCACTTGATGAAAGGGATTGGATTGGCAATGAGATGAACATGATCGTGGAGACTGGGTCCACATATACTGTGCAGTCGTGGAGCATTTACACATGTTAATCTCTGAGCCCACTGTCTCCTGCAAAACATGAAAGTAACATCCACTTTATGGTTTGTTTTATGAATGGAATCAGCCAATAGAAATGAAAATTTTTATTACTAGTCTTAAATAGTAGGTGCTGGCACTACAGATAATTTATGCTATCCGCTATTAGCTATTGTCTCATCCTGCATCTGCCCCAACATAGAAACTAAAGTTAATTGATTTCCTGAACCCTTCCACAATGATTTGTTATATGCCAGGTATTCTAAATTCTGCATAAATAATGACTCATTAGTCCTCATAAGAATCATAGGAAGCAGATATAATGATTATCACTCCCATTTTACAAATGAGAAAACCAAGGAGTGGGGAAATCAAGTAATGTGCCCAGAATTGTAAAGCCTGCAAGGAGGGAAACCAATATCCCAGTTGTTTACAGCCCAGAAATTGCTCTTAGCCCCTGTGTGATACTGCCTCTGAGCAAAACCAGTAATACACCCTGAACTCTTCAGAATAATTAATTTTCTCTAGGGAAGAGTGTGATGAACCTCCAAGTCAGAGATGCTGCCTTTTTCTTTTCTCCTGTCCATGAGTCTTGGCCACTTTCCTGTGACTGAGACAAAAACATACAGTGTTCACACTTTAAAAGACAGATTTATTTCAGCTCATACTTTTAGCTCATGTTTGGTTCCAAGGCAGAAATAGGATGGCGTAGGGGACTAGCAGAGGAAAGATGCTCAGCACATGACATCCAGGAAGCTGATAGAGAAGGCAGAAACTAATGGAGATAGAACCTTCAGGTCCCCTCCCCACCTCTAACCAGATCCCACCTCCTAACAGCAAGCCAGCTAAGAAATCACCTGTGCGCTAATTCATTGATAAGCATATCAACCCCTAGATTCAATCACCTTCTAAATATGAGGCTTTGAGGGGGGGAACATTTTAGATCTAAACCATGACATGGTCTGACTGTTACATACAAACTAGTTAATTCACTGTTTTATTTTTTGTTTGTTTTTTGTTTTTGGGGGGGGTAGTGGCAATGAAGTATCAGTCACATCAACTGCAGGAAATGCTCCCCAGGGCCTGAAGGACCCAGGTCAGGCTCTGGGTTCCTTGAGTTTTCATTTCTATAGCTGCAGTGCCAATAGTCAGTATGCAATTGTGCTTGAGTTTCCTGTTTTCAATAAACATATTGAGTACTCACTACTCAATGCAGACTAGCATATGTGATCAGCCAAAAGCATTGTGAGCAGAGATC